GCCCCCCGACGGGGGGGCCGAGCGCGCGGCCCGGCTTGTGGGCGTACTTTATCTGGGCGGCTTGCGATGAAGGAAATGCATTTTCTTTCTTTTTTTTTTTTTTTTTTTTTTTTGATTTCTCTGGAATGGGTTTGGACAATTGGTTTTCTAAAATAGACTCAATGAGAGGAAATCCATTTGTTAACCTGCCCTGCGTAGCTGGAACGGGAGGACGGTGTGCAGATACGTAGTTTCCTTGTTAACTTCGCTTCTGATTGCATGTGCTTTCAAACACAGTGCAACCTGCGAGTAAAAAAAAAATAACGTCTTTTTTTTCCCCTTCTCTTTTTTAATCAGGATTTAAATGGACAAAAAGAGCTGTGTCCACGTCTCTGCCACCTCAAGAAAGGCCCCAATGGCTACGGCTTCAACCTGCACAGTGAGAAATCCAGACCGGGGCAATCCGCTCGGGGGACCCAGATTCGCCGGCCTCTAAAGCAGGACTGCGGCCCCAGGACAGGCTCGTGGAGGTAGCGGCGTGGGGGGTCTCCAGGTCGTTCCCCGGTGGTCTGGGGGGTTTTCTCAGCACGTTCTGCATAGGGATCCCTAAACCCTTGGCAGCGTGAGGGCACGAGCTCCCTTTCGCGAGGGGGGAGATGGAGAGTGGAAGTGACGCGACTCTGCCAGGCACCCAGGAGGTCTCAGACCTTCTCGGTCAGCCCCGCTGCGGGGTCCTGCGTAAGACAGCAGCACACCTTCCTCTGCTAGAAGCAGCGAAGGGGCGCGCGCAGGGCGCAGGTGAGGAGAGGGCGTTCAGCGGGGATACGTGGCGCAGAGAGGTGTCTGGGTAGGTTCGAGCGCCTAATCTCCGTGTGGGTCCGGCCCCGGGTGCTGATGGAGCCCTAAGGCCGGTGTTGGCGCGCCGGGAAGCGGCTTTGCAGTCCTTCAGCGGCGCTTTTTCCCCTACCGTAGGGGGGGCGGCTCCGCGCTCCCCGCTGAATTAATTGCAGCTGATTAAAAGCAGGCGCTTGTGCGCGCTGAAATCTAAACGGCGACGTTGGCTCTGGCAAGGCGCGGAGGAGGAGCGGAGCAGGCTGACGGCCCTGCGGAGAGGCTGGGCTGCGCGCGGCCCCTGCTCCCGTCAGGCTCGGGCCGCGTCGGGGAGGCGGTGGCAGCGGCGGCCAGATGCGTGGACCTCCGTTCGGGTCGGGTACGTGACGGGCGCCCGTCTGCCCTCCGGCACTGCTGCAGCCCGGAGCTCGGAGGGGAGCGAGCCCCGTGCTCGGCGGCGTTTGCCTGACATCGCTCGCTGCGCTGATGCTGAGCTGCGTAGAGGTGTTTTTACCCGGCTTAGTGAGAGGGGCAGAGGGGC